GAAATATCTTGAACTGAATGAAATTGAAAGCATGTCAGAATTCATGGGGTGCTGCTAAAGCTGTACTTAATAAGCTTAGCACGTTTATAGATAACATGATCAGTATACAAAAATCAATTTTCTTTCTATGTAATAGCAATAAACAATTAGAAATTGAAATTTTAAAAATGCCATTATAATACCACCCAAAAATATTAAATGCTTAGAGATGAGCCTGACAAAAGGTGTGTAAGACATGCATGCTAAATACAGCAAAACATTGCTGAGAGAAATTAAAATAAGATTTATATAAATGGAGAGAGAGGTATTCTTTATGGGTGGAGGACTTGATATTGTTAAGATGTCAATTCTGTATTAACTTTGACTCTTAGAACCATAGTAATGTTCAAATACTCTCCCTCCAAGAAATAAGTAATGAATTAAAATCAACCTGGACCTGTGGGAAAGAAACTCAGAATAAAATAATAAGCAGTAACAAACTGTACTGAATTATAACTGCATTAAAGAGGATAAAGGAAGAACAAGAGAGGGATAACCTGAGTAACTGTGGAAAGCAGTATTTTAACTGGATACTGTAAGACCAGAGACAAAAAGAACTATACACTAATACCATACTCTGTTTAGTAAATTTGTTTCTCAATGGAATATGGGTTGGAAATTCTGTTAAGGTTACAAAGGAAAGAGGTTAGAATGAACCTTGTGGTATAGTATTAGATTCCATTATCTATATGATTACATAGTTTTTAGTATTTAGGTAAAGATAGAAATTTAAGTGTGTATGTTTGGATTAGTATAGAGGAGTTCCCCCCACCCTTGTATGCAGTTTTAGTTATTCACGGTCAAATGCAGTCTAGAAACATGATCCTCCTGACATAACATCAGAAGGTCAATAGTAGCCTAATGCTACATCACAATGCCTGCTCCATTTGCCTCACTTCATCTCATCATGTAGACGTTTTTTCATCTCATATCACAAGAAGTAAAAGGATGAGTACAGTACAATGAGATATTTTGAGAGACAGAAATCACATTTGCATGACTTTTATTGCAGTATATTATAATTGCTACATTTTAATATTAATCTCTTACTATGGCTAATTTCTAAATTAAACTTTTTCATATGTATAAGAAAAAATGTGTATAAGAATATAGGGTATGTGTATGTGTAGGTAGGTATGTATACCTATGTATAAGGTGTAGAGGGTTCAGAACTATTTGCAATTTCAGGCATCTGCTGGGAGTCTTGGAACATATCCCCTGTAAATAAGGGGAGACTGCTGTACATACCTGTATTCCTAGTTTTTCCTGCTAAGAGGGTCCAGGAGCAATGACACCCTAATGATAATGAGCTCATCTTGTACCCAGATTTCTAAATGGTTTTTAAATATCATTTTCCAATAAAGGAACCAGGACTATTTGAGAAAAAAGTTGGTTCCAGGGCTGGAACAAGGAAAATATAAGATGAGCATGGACCATCTTATGATACCAGAAAATATAAAAGTGCTCACAAAAGGATAGAGCATGTCAAGAGGACACAGTGGCCAACCTGACAGAGTTCCAGTGGCCAGAGAAAGATCAATTTGAGCAACAAAATAAATAATGATAGTGTTGGATTGTAACCCTTAGAATAAAATAAATACCCATGAGTCTATACTGATATGACTTGAATGAATAAATACATGGGAGAGGAGGAATATCTCCTCCTTACAGAAGAATTCCAGTTATTCAATGTAGAATGAGAAAAATACAAAATCACTATTAGATAAGCACCACAGTATAAATGTCACAATCAGGTTCCACAAATGACTGGTGAAATCAGGGGCACCAGAGGTGTCTGTCAGTTAAGTGCCTTTGGTTCAGGTCATGATTTCAGGTTCGTGAGATCAAGCCCATGTTGGGTTCTGTGTTGACCATGAGAATCTGTTTGGGATTCTCTCTTTCCCTCTGTCTGCATCTACCCACTTGTGTTGTCTCTCTCTCTTTAAAAAAAAAAAAAATACAAGAGCAAGGAACTGTCAAAGATCAGGAGAGACCAGTTAGACACAGAAACTTAAATGCATCAACAAAAGGCAATCTCTGCAGCCCGGGTGGCTCAGCGGTTTAGCGCCACCTTCAGCCCAGAGCGTGATCCTGGAGACTCGGGATCGAGTCCCACATCAGACTCCATGCATGGAGCCTGCTTCTCGCTCTGCCTGTGTCTCTGCTTGTGTGTCTACCTCTCTCTGTGTGTGTCTCTCATTAATAAATATTTTTTTAAAAAAAGGCAATCTATGGAATGGGAGAAGATATTTACAAATGACTTATCAGATAAAGGGCTAGTATCCAAAATCTATAAAGAACTTATCAAACTCAACACCCAAGAAACAAAAAATCCAGTTAAGAAATGGGCAGAAGACATTAACAGACATTTCTCCAAAGAAGACATACAAATGGCCACCAGACACATGAAAAAATGCTCCACATCACTTGGCATCAGGGAAATACAAATCACAACCACAATGAGATACCACCTCACACTGGTCAAAATGGCTAAAATGAACAAGTCAGGAAACAACAGATGTTGGGGAGGATGTGGAGAAAGGGGGAACCCTCTTACATTGTTGGTGGGAATGCAAATTGATGTAGGTATTCTGGAAAACAGTTTGGAGGTTCCTCAAAAAGTTAAAGCTGTCCTACCACCCAGCAATTGTACTACCAGGTATTTATCTGAAGGATACAAAAATAGTGATTTGAAGGGGCACATGCACCCCATCATTTATAGCAGCAATGTCTACAATAACCAAATGATGAAAAGAGCCCAGATGTCCATTGACAGATGACAGATAAAGAAGTGATGTATATGCAGAATGGAATATTACTGTGCCATCAAAAAAATGAAGTCTTGCCACTTGCAATGACGTGGATGGAACTGGAGGGTATTAATACAAAGTGAAATAAGTCATTCAGAGAAAGACAAATACCATGATTTCACTTGTGTGGAATTTAAGAAACAAAGCAGATGAACATAGGGGAAGAGAATATAAAATAAGATAAAAACAGGGAGGCAAACCTGAGACTCTTAACTATAGGAAACAAACTAAGGGTTGCTAGAGGGGAGGTAAGTAGGGGGATGAGTGATGAGTTTTAAGGAGGGCACTTGATGTAATGAGTACTGGGTGTTATATGCAACTGATGAATCACTGAACTCTACCCCTGAAACCAATAATACAGTATATATGTTAACTAAATTGAATCTAAATAAAAATTTTTTTAAAAAAGAACTAAATGAAGCATAGGATCCTGGAACAGAAAAGGACACTACAGGAAAAGCTAGTAAAATTTGAATAATGTCTATAGTTTAGTATTGTATCAGTGTTCGTTTCCTAGTTTTGATCATTGTACTATGGTTTGTAAGTTACCATTATGGGAAGCTGGGAGAAGGGCATAGGAAATCTCTAATATTTTTGTAGCTTTCCATAAGTCTAAAATGATTTCCAAATAAAAAGTTAAATAGTAAGGTCCATTGGGGAGGCAAAACGTGGTCTTGGAACCACATTCGGTGCGCAGCCATGGGGCCTCCTGGGGGGAAGATCAACCAGCCCCGAACGGAGCTGAAGAAGAAGCTGTTCTAGCGCCAGTGGGTGTTGAACTGGGAGAGGCGACTGAAGCATCGGGTAGTCGGGGCTGTGATAGACGAAGGGCTGATCACACGGCACCACTTGAAGAAGCGGGCGTCCAGTGCACGTGCCAACATTACTCTGGGAAGAAGCGCAGAAAGCTCCTCCAGCAGATCCGGCTGGCCCAGAAAGAGAAAGCAGCCATGGAAGTGGAAGCCCCCACAAGGCCAGTCAGGACTAGTGGACCACAGCCCAAGCAGCAAAAGAAGACAAAAGCACCCCAGGGTATAGACATGGAGGACCTTGGAGATGAGAGGGGAATCTCTCACCCCTTCCACTAGAAGATTCTCAGCTGGAGCCAGAAAGACTCTAGTTGTTCAGAGGACTTTGGAGAAGGCATTGCCCCTTTTCATTCTCCCTGGACTCCTCTTCCTTCATGGCCTAGTGACCTGTCATGGAGGGATATGTTAAGAGGAAGAGGGTGGTAAAGAAAGACTGGAGAACGGGGCCCCCTTGCAGTCAGCTCCACTTGTAATAAAGTTCTAGAGTTCTCTTAAAAAAAAAAAAAAAAAAAAGAAGGTCCATTGGTTTGATACTGTGTTGGTAGATATGGATAGCTAACTGTTCTGAAGAATCAAAAGAGATATAATTGATGTCTGCCCATGTATAACTAGGTAATTAATAGATTATATCCATGTTGGTACTGCTGCTGCCTTTGGTTGTTAAATTAACAGTAATTATCTCCAGTAGATTCTCTAGATTCACTCAAAGTGGTTTAAAAATCTAATTAGAAAATAAAAATGGTATTTCAGAGTTTTAAATTCTAACAGTCTTTCATGAAAATAAGATAGCAGACTTTAAAATAAAATTAAATCCTAAGTTAAAAATAGATTTGTCCACCCAGTTATTTTGATGGACATTAACTGATTCACAGAATTTAACATAAATTTCAAACTACTTGGCTACATGGCTGGTTTTTTTCCTCAAAAATTTCCTATGTCTCTAGGTTAAAAAGAATCATTGTAGTTGGCTTGATCATCTTTTCTGTGTAAATTTCTCTCAACAGTCCCTAGGGGTGAATTTCCCTGACATGCCTTGACATGTTAGAATTTCTGTTATGTACCTCTAAGATATTTGATTCACAATTCACCAAATATAGCTAAATTAAAATGCTAATGTTTTATTCAAGTATACTAGCATATCAAAAAGCATACATAAGTATGCATGTAATAAAATTTGAATTTAATAGTGTCAAATTTTAAGTGCATTGTTCAGTGTTCTAAAAATAACAGGTTTGCTCAACTGGCTATTCTACAAGAAGGAAAAATTCTGTTGGCATGTTTGTTTTTCTGTTTTGTTTTTTGGTATGTTTGTCAATTTAGTTTTGTTTTTAATCTTCTTCAGGATGTGGTGGATACACACCCTGGCCTCACGTTCTTGAAAGATGCTCCAGAATTCCACTCCCGCTACATCACCACGGTAGGCTGAATCTTCTTTTTTCTTAATAAAGATCTATAAGTCACTTTTTTATCACTGTCCAGCATCCAGGTTTTCTTATCTTTGTGCAAAAGGTAACATGGGCTATAATGATTATTTTAAGTGGAAGGAAGGTACAGTAAAATTGCATTATTTATATCTACTTTTCTTCTTATAAGTACCAGTGTATACAGAATTAGAGTGATATATTCATTCTGTCTTGTCTTCTGAGGTACACTTTTTGCTTTGTTATTAATATTGATACCCAGTCGATATTGAGCATTCGCAAATAACACTGAAAAGAATATTCAACAGCCTTTCCCAGAAAAAGATGTGTTTCAAATTTAGAACTGGAAATGGTAATGAGAAATAGCTTACATATAGTCAGAAAACAAATCATATAAGAGTTTAACAGAGCACAATCACAATCTCCCATTTTGTGAAGTGTTCTCTTTCCCTGTTTCTTATGCATAGCTTCATTTGACCAGTCACAGGCAAAGCATGAATTATGAGTCAGAGCACACAGGCCTGCAGTGCACATTGCAGCCACATCCAGCATTCTTTGCCCTAGCTCCCAGATTATCTTTGGAGGAATTCCAAAGATGAGACCTAGGACAAACCACAGTCACTCAAGTGAGTTAGCCCTTGCGTCTGGCTCACATCCTCTATTAATATTACAGAGCAATCACCTCTGAAGAAAACCCTCTCATTCTTAGGGTACTTTTTGTTGGCCATGAATTTGTTGGGTTCTGTCAAGTTACAGAATATTGCCGTTCTTTTTCTCCTTTCAGAACTTCATTCATGGCTTTGACATTGGCTCTCTTCTGTTGTAAAACTTTGTAAGTCTTTCTGTGAGCCAGAAGGTGTCACTGTCTTCTAAGTTATTTTTGCCTGTTAACTATACCATTGTACTAAATCACTGCCACCACAGTCACCCTTGTTTCTCACATGGATTACTTCTAATTGGACTCCCTGCTTATGCCTTCATTGCCCTATAGTATAGTCTCCACAAAGCAGAGTAATCCTTTAAAAGTAAGTCAGATCATATCACTCCTCTGTTCAAACTCTCCAGTGGTTTCCCATCTCAGAGGAAAAGCCTAAGTCCTTGCTAAGACTCCCCATAATCCTCCCCACACCCGCCCCTTACACACATTACCTTTACAACTTCTGCACTCTCATCTCTCCTATTACCCTGCCCCTCACTTACTGTGCTTTGGTCACAGCTAATAATTCTGTTATTTAACATCTTTTCTAAGAATAAATTACAATAAAAAAGTCCTCTAGAGAGCATTTTTCCTCACTGTTCCTGGAACAGACCAACACCACCTCTGCTTCAGGTGTTTCTTATTTCCTCTGCCTGAAATGCTCTTCTTATGGATTTCCACATGATTTTCTCTTTCATTTGCTTCATCCAGCTACATGACCAGATATTCCCTTATTAGTGGGGCCTTCCCTGAACACTCTTTGCCTTCTTCACCCTTCTCCCTCTGCCTCTCCGTCATACTCTCTATTCAGTCATTCTGCTTTATTTTTCTTCTTTGCTCTTATGTCATCTTATATTTTAAATTTTTAAATTTTAAATTCTCTTCTGGATGATAGAAACTCCACTGGAGCAGGGAATTTGTCTATATTTTCCACTACAATATTTCAAATACCTAGAATAATGCCTAGCACATATTAGATACATAGTATTTATTGAGTAAATGAGTGAAATTATGCATGCTTCAGAATTCTGCATATTAACTCTGACTTCAATTCCATATGGAATTATTGGATTCTGATTGTTGATTGTTTTATAAACTCAGGGTATGTTAATAGCATAATTGAAAATCTTAAGAGCGAGGAAAGATCTTAGAGATAATCCAGCCCAACCTTCTACCAATTCAGAAAATGCTCTCTACAGAGGAACTTTCTATTGAAATTTATTTTGTTAGCTATATTTAGACTGGAAAGATAGAGTACCAATTATGCATACAGCAAAAAGAAATCACTACCCAAATAAGAGAATGCACGTAAAGTTACTTCATATTCTCCTTTATTTCCAGAGACAAGTTGGCATTTGAGTAATAAGTCTCTTGATACTGAATGAAAACGAAAATTGGAAATACTAGCAAATTATAGTCCTTGAGTTTGCAGTTTTGCATGCCATGCAAAGAAATTGCCAATGAATAAAAAACTCCGCTTTTCCTAGCTGGCATATGCTGACTTTTGAGGGAAATGGTGCTCACATGAGTTTTTAAAATAAGCAATGAGATTGAAAATATTCTTTATGACACTGGCGCTGGCAGCAAAGACATTTCTCTGGATGCTCAGATGGTGGTGTCTTAGTGACATATTCAATGTCTTGATTGGCCTGAAGCCATCACTTCAGGCTGAAATGCCAGGGTTTTAATTGTTGAGGACAAGGTACTGATATTTCCTGAGATGACTAAACTGTGGTAGAGATTGCTCATCACTAATGGCTTGACTCCTTCCCCTTGAGAACTTTTCCTCTTAATAGAAAAAGGAAGAAACTTGTATTTAGATAGATTTTAAGGTCCAAACTATCAAGTCATCTAGAGATCCCTTGGTAAAAAAAAAAAAAAAAAAAAAAAAAAGTCAAGTTTCATTCCACTCACTGGTAGTAAACAATTATTCTTAATATTATTTTTTAATTAATTAATTAATTTACTATTTTTAAAATTGTGATTAATTTCCTTTTTATTTATCTAAAAGTGGTAGAAACAAATTAGGGGAAAAAACTAGGGTAATTGATGTAAAACCAAGCAGCTACATGTTCTCACCACTAGATGGTGCCCTTACCTCAATAAGCTAAAATGCTGAATCAGTAATGTGGAAACCAATAAATGTGCTGATGATGTGGGGCGACTGAATAAAGAGATGTAGGCTATGGAAAAATGGACTTGTCCATTTTTTCATATTATTAGGTAAGTTACAAGAGGCTAAAAATAGGAAATGTTTAACAGTCAAACGTTTGTGAATTTTAAAAATTATGTCAAAAAACTGAATAACAAAATAAGGAAAAATAAATACAGATTAAAGTTTTATAATTTTAAGTGTAATACAGTACCTCCATAAATAATATAAAATATTTGAAAAATATATAAATATAAAATTTTGGTAGATAGGAAAAAGACTTTAAAATAAATTTATACTCAAGATCAAGTAATAAAGATAAAAATCTAATCATGTTCAACATAGAAAATTTTGGTGTAATGATATGTATTGAAATTGACTTTTACTTGAGAGAGGAGTCATGAAACCATGATAAATGGTATTATTACTGTTTATTTATATATATATATATATATATATATATATATAATTTCTGTGCTAAAAATCTTCCATCTTTTTTATATGAACTTCTGCCAAGCTAGTGTTAAGAATATACTGTTGATTAGGACACATTCTCTGCCCTGAAGCACCCCAGTCGGAGTCTGAGTGATAGGAACCAATAGAAAAATTAGACACCAGCTAGTCCCAGTTCAAATCTAATGCAGAAATCCTATCAACTTCTGCCTAAATTTTTGTGGTGAGAAGAAACCTTACTATTTCAGACAACCCTTTGCTTCACGGCGTGAATTTTAGGAAACTCTTCCTTATAGTAAAGAATTTAAGTATAAGGACTATCTATCCAGTAGTTTAAGTCCTGCTTTCTGGTGCAACACAGAACAAGTCAGCCACTTCTTCCACCTGGTAGTCAGCCATTCAGATCATGGTCACATGTATACTCTAATCTTATTTTTTCCTCAAGAGTAAAAATCACTAAATTAGTACTATCTTGTTAGTAATTTTGAATGTAGTTACCCTTTTCTGCTTTGTTTTCTGCACATTTTATATGCTATATATAAATCATAGAGAATAGTACTGATTTATGTGAAATACTAATTAGAGACCTTTCTTGGGTTGACATCCATCTGCTATTTACAACTCCGAAGAGAGTTATTCAGCTAGCTATGACTCCAACCCATATGTCTATCACAGGTATAACATGAAAGTCTTTGTTACACGAGTCTCAAACCTCATTAATTTATCACGTAATTTTCTAAGGAAGACATACAGATGGCCAACAGGTACATGAAAAAGTGCTCAACATTACTCATCCTCAGGAAAATGCAAATCAAAATCATGATGAGATATCACCTCACACCTGTTAGAATGGCTGATAACAAAAAGGCAAGAAAATAACAAGTGTTGGCAAGGATGTAGAAGGAACTCTTGTGCACTGTTGGTGGAAATATAAATTGGTGCAGCCACTAGGAAAGCAGATGAAGTTGCTCAAAAATTAAAAATACAACTACCAAATGATGCAGCAATTCCACTGCAAGGTATTTATCTAAAGAAAACAAAAAATATTAACTCAAAAGATCAGTGTACCCCCATGTTCATTGCAGCATTATTTGCAGTAGCCAAAATATGAAAACAACCTAAGTGTCCTTCAATGGATGAATAAAGATTTGGTATGTACATACAGTTGACCCTTGAACAACATGAATTTGAACTGCAGGGGCCACTTATATGCAGATTTTTTATAGTACTGCAAATATATTTTCTCTTCCTTATGATTTTCTTAATTTTTTTCTTTTTTCTAGGTTTATTTTAAGAATACAGTAGATAATACATATATAATGTACAAAATATATGTTAATTGTTTATGTTATTGGTAAGGTTTCCAGTCAGCAGTAAGCTATTAGTAGGTAAGTTTTGGGAGAGTCAAGTTTTATATGGATTTTTGACCATACAGGGCCAGGGTTGGCATGAAATCTTGCCGTTTGCAACAACATCGATCGACTTTGAAGACATTATGCTAAATGAAAAAGGTCAAAGACAAATACTATATGATCTCTCTCATGATCTCTCTCAATCTTTAAAAAAAAACAACAAACAAAAACCAAGCTAGATAAAGAAAACAGATTGGTGGTTGCCAGCAGGCCGTGGATGTAGGCAGAATGGGTGAAGAGGGAGTCAAAAGGTACAAACTTCAGTTATAGAATAAATAAGTCATGGGGACAAAAAGTACAACATGGTGACTGTAGTTATTACTATACATATATATGTATGTATATATGTATATATACATAAAACTAATGCTCCATATAATACAATAATATAAATATATTGCATATTTGAAAGTTTCTAAGAGTTCTCATGACAAGGAAAAGAAAATTCCACAACGCTGTATGGTAGCAGATGTTAAGTAGACTTATTGTGGTGATCATTTTGCAATATATACAAATATTAAATCATGTCATACACCAGAAACTGATATATGTGAATTATTCCTCAAATAAAAAATATATCAAGCAATTATTGACTACTTGTTATATGCAGAGCATATATCAGAGCATCATATCAGGCACTGGGATGCAAGTCAAGAAAGACCTGATATGTTGGAGTTTGGAAGTGATGATGGTCAGGTGCACCAGTATTGAGAATATAACCACAGGATGAACTGAAGGAGACTCACATGACAGTTGGAACACAGAAAATAGAGCTCTACTCCAGTCCCTGTTCTGGCACTTCCTGTGGAGTTGGCAGTTGAGCTAGATCCTGAAGGGTCAGTAATTATCACGGCTATAGGATAAGGAAAGCTAGACAGCAGAAATCTGAGCCTTCATTCTGAGGCTGGTTTTTCCCTGCTCTGTTTGAGAATCACTCTCTGCTAAGGAATCCAGAAGGGGAATGGTGATTTAGTCCCTCATTAGGCCTACTCATTGGATAGATGTCCAGATGTCTTCCTTTTTTTGTCCTTGCACTAAAATAACTTTTAAAAAGGACCTAGCCTCTTCCATGATAAAATCACCAAGGATACAGGATTTCTATTAGTCAAAATTAAAGGCAATGTGCCAAAAAATCTGCTTATATTGAACACTGGGTGTTATATTTAAGTGATGAATCACTAAATTATATTCCTGAAACAAGTATTGCCTTATATGTTAACTAACTAGAATTTAAATAAAACCTTAACCAAAACAAAACAAAATTGCTTAAAATTGCTCTTTTCACTACTGCTTCCTTTTGGAGAAAAAAAAAAACAAAATTAGTGGGTGAAAGGGAAATTAAATAGGTATGCATAACCCCAGGTGAAATTGTTAAGAATACACTGTGGCCTCCTCCCTGCAGGGTGGCAACCTTATTTTCCTTCTCCAGTCCTCCACTACACTACAACACATGTCATTGATCTCAGACACATTTGTTGCTACCCATTCCCTCCTCTCTCATCCTGTCCGGTCTGCTCTAGAGTTTCACATCTGTTGTTAAAGTCTTTAGAACACTAGCTAATTCCAGAATTGCTCATTCTGTTATGACTCAGTATATGAGTAAGGGCTCAGTATATGAGTTATCCCAGGTGTATTTGAGTTTCCAGAAAGAGTCTGGAAGACTAGAAGTCTTTAAGAATCCAGTGAGTAAAAAAAAAAAAAAAAAAAAAGAATCCAATGAGTAAGGCTATAATAGCCAGAATAATGCCCCCTTGAATTGCACTATGTTAGCAGCCATTCTTATGACCCACCAGTTGTTAAGCCAACTCACTGTGTGTTTCCCTCCTCATTTGCCTTTCCAGAACATCCAGCCCAATAAGCACTGCTTGAATCACTGTATAAGATGAGAGGTAAACAAAGTGACATGTAGGTAGCTGGGAAATGCAGGCTCATGAGCAAAGAATATCTTTTTATTCTTCTTAGAATTATAGGGGACACGGGTATAGATTTTAAAATATGGTATTAGTTTTTATTAGAAATTACACTGGACATAATCAGAAAACCAAAACATAGCTTGGTTCAAGATACATTCATAAAATGGCCTTTGGTGAAGTAATAGATATCTTCAGTGTTTTTATTTGGTTTGTTTTCCTTTTGTGGAACCAGGTTATTCAGAGAATATTCTACACAGTCAACAGATCTTGGAGTGGAAAAATAACTTCAACAGAGATAAGAAAAAGCAACTTTTTGCAAGTATGTCTCTCATTGAAATTCATATATAAAGAGCAAGTTAAATAATATTCTTACTTCATTTAACAAGTATTTGAGTGTTTATTGTATGCAAAGTATTTCCGCTACTTTCAGTCATTAAGCATTTCAGATATCTGGGATGTGTTGGGGAGAACAAAGATGAATAACAAGAGATTTTTATATCAAGGCAGACAGACTAAAAGTGCACACCTGACGAAAATTTCCACAGAAGTGCATAACAAATATGCAGAGAAGGCCTCACAGAAGGACTGACATGTAATCTTGACCTTGGAGGATGTCAGAAGTTTATCAAAATAAAAAATTAGGAGATTCCGGATAGAGGAATAGCATAAGCAAAGGCTCAGAAGCATGAGAGGGTGGGCAGTCTAAGAGCATAGTCTAAAGTGGCCAGAGGCTCTGCAGAGAGTGACCAGTGATATGGCCCAAGGGGTGAGATGGACTGGGTTAGGAAAGGTCTTTCGAAAGGAATAAAGGAATTTCAGCTTGATCCTTTCTGCAGCGACTCTTTATTCAGATCCTACTGGAGTGGAGAAAAATACTAAAAAGTCCTTTTAAGAAAGAATATATTTCATTCAGTTATTTTATTCATTTTACCAAATGAGAAAGTATTGACCACTAGTGGGAGCTTTTTATTGAGGTAATCTTCATGCCTTGTTGTTTAGGCTGCCATTAACCTAAAGGAAGAATTGTTCATACTTGAAAGGAAATATTTTATTTTCAATGAGTCATACTAAATGAAGCTTAGGCTAATAATACAACCTTATGTACTCTTTATTTTTCCCTGTCTTTATCTGGGACAAAGTAATGAAGACTTGCAAAATTAGCAGCCCATAATCCATATACAAACCTTTTTTATTCTAAAATGGATAGTAATCATCACAGTCATTGTTAATATTTATGGAACCCCTAGTGCCTGCCTCTCTCAGTAGGTAACATGGGATGGGTTGAGATGGCAATAATTCCATAAAAGAGGCCTTACACCTTAAGAATGGCAATCCTTCACATTCCTGAAGCATATCAGAGATTATAAGTTTTTGGCATTATTATAATCCCTGTTTTTTAACTAATGGTAAAATTTGAGGCACAGATATGGTTGAATGATTTATAAGAGCACATAGCGAGTAAGTGCCCAAACTTAGTGTTCTTCCTAGAACAGGATTTAATTGTTTCCCCTCTTTCCTACCCTTCTCCTACTCTTCCTATTAGAGAATTATCACAAATGTATGCTCATGATTTATATGCTCATAATGCATTCAGATAACAGGAACATAACTGGGATAATCAGCAGAAGTCACTATCTCTTCACCCTGCCATTTCATTCCCTTTCCCAGAGGTAACCCATCCATATATTCTGTGGTTTTATTCCCTTGTATGCTACATGGAGTAAACAGTTTTATTTTGTATGGCTGCTTTTTTTTTTAATATATGAGATCATTCTGTTAATTTTGGGTTTTTTCACTAACAGCATATCTTAACATTCTTTTCATTTCCATGCATATAAATCTCTCATTCTTTTAGCTGCTGCATAATCTGTGGCATGGCTCTACCATAACTAAATTACATAATCCCTTATAGAGGAAGTGTAAGTCATTTTCATGGTTTTCCTATTTGTAATGATGCAGTGAACATCCTTGTGCTTTCCTCCTGTGTGTAGATGGGTAAGAATTTTCCTAGAATAGACTACTGGAGGGGAAAATCCTGGATCAGATGGTATGTGCATTTTCTGGGTTTTTTTTTTTTTTTTAAGATTTTTTATTTTTTAAGTAATTTCTACACCCAACATGGGGCTAAAAACCACAACCCTGAGATCAAGATTTGCATGCTCCACCGACTGAGCCAGCCGGGTGCATTCAATTTCATAGATCCTGCCAACTTAGCCTCCTAAAAACCTGTACTTGTTCAGACTTACACATTCACCAACAGCAAAGTTACTAGTCTTTTTCATTTTATGATAATCCAGTAGGTGAAAATGAGAGCTCCTCTCAAGATTTGTTTTATTTTATTTTTTTAAAGAGTTTTTATTTATTAATTCATAAGAGACACAGAGAGAGGGGCAGAGACATAGGCAGAGGGAGAAGCAGGCTTCCTGCAGGGAACCTGATGTGGGACTCGATCTCAGGACCCCAGGTCACAACCTGAGCTGAAGGCAGATGCTCCACCACTGAGCCACCCAGGTGCCCCTCAAGATTTGTTTTATTGTACATATTCTGCTTTATACATGTTAAAGAGCAGTTTATAAAACAAAACATTACAAGCCATGTTTGGAAAACAGAAGAAAAATCATATTTCATCACCCTAATACAACTAATAGCATTTTTTATATGTTTTTCTAGTCTCATATATATGTACAGATTTTAAGATTTTACAGAGTTCTTAGTGTGCATAATGTTATATCCTGTATTTTGCATTTACCACATTATGGTTTTCCTTTGTTTCTCTGTATTCTTTATAACTTTTACTGGCAACAGAATCTTTCTTTAAGAAGTTTTGCTATCATTTAATAATTCTCAACTTGCCAAGACAATATTGGTTTCCCAGTATTTACATTTTGGCACATAATTTTTTATTGAAACAATTTATTTATATTATGAAATAATCACCTTTGTCCTTTATAATGTTTTTCACCTTGAATTTCATTTTATTTTCTAATAATGTTGACATGTTTTCTTTCTGTTAAGATTTAGCTAGTATTTATTTGTCCTTTTTTTTTAAAAAAAGACCTCCTTTAAATTTTTATTTTAGATTTATCTCTTATGACAGCATATACCTAGATATGTTTGGGAGGGTTGGTTTTTATATTCAATCTGAAAATACTTTAATATGGAGACTTAATTCATTTATCTTTACTGTGATTGTTGATATGTCTGATCTGATTTCTGCCATTTCATTTTGCTTACTCTATTTCTGAAGTTTTTTTATAGCTTCTTTTATCTTTCTTTCTGAATCTTTCATTTCTGAAAACATCTTCATTTACCTGCCCACTTATAATTATAAGAACTGTAAGAATTCTGGGTTCAGAATTACTGATTCTGATGTTTCCCATGGGGGCACACAGTGAGTCAGGGGAGACCCAGGTGTACTTCCAGCTCAGGGCCCTGTAGCTCCATCCCCCATGCCTTCTATGCCAGGCTAGCACACATCAGCACAATGCTATACCATAAGTCACCTTCGTGGTAAATTTGATCTCATTACACAACCAAACCCTATATGTGGATTTCCACTCTACATAATAGAATAGATGCCCACTCTCCCTAATTGTGGAAAGTTAAAAGCAGTGTCAGTTTATGATCATGTAATTCAGCCTTTTGTCTAATTGTTCTAGCTTGCTAGTCTGGGGACCTCTGATGGGCTACAGTCTCCTTGGTAGCAGTCCTTCCCTTTCTGTGCTTTTAAATCCTCCACTGTATCTGAAGCCCTTTGCTAATAAGCATAATACAGAACTCGTAAATGCTTATAGATTGATCATTTGATTAAAGGTCAGAAGAGGTTGCTAAATTCCTAGTTTGGTACCAAAACCAAAAATTTTAATTCAATTTAAAATAAAGTTTTAGGGGATCCCTGAGTGGCTTAGCGGTTTAGCACCTGCCTTTGGTCCAGGGCATGATCCTGGAGTCCCAGGATCGAGTCCCACATCAGTCTCCCTCCATGGAGCCTGCTTCTCCCTCTCTGCCTGTGTCTCTGCTTCTCTCTCTCTCTCTCTCTCATGAATAAATAAATAAAATATTTTAAAAAATAAAATAAAACTTTACTAGACTGCAAAATGGACAAAGCTTGTTTTCATAATTTAAAAATGAACTAATCCTTCTCTTCATACTATTTCAGACTCTAGCCCTTTTGGAAGAAGAGGAAGATATAAACCAAATCACAGATTACTTCTCCTATGAACATTTCTATGTTATTTATTGTAAATTCTGGGAACTAGATAGTGATCATGACCTCTACATCAGCCAGGCCGATTTATCTCGATACAATGACCAGGGTAAGTGTTTTAGAGATGGTAAGACTTAACTGTTTTTGAAGAAGGCAAGAGTTATATGAATTGTTATATGAATGAGAGATTCTCATTTCTTAAATTCTTTATCTAATCAAGTCCTCTTTAAAGAGCCAAGAATTTTTATGTGGGAAAAGGTAAAGGTGTCAATTTTTTATTTAGAAGGCAAGTATAGAAGAGACTTACAGTATGTAAGCAATTAGAGTCTTTGTTTTGATTAATTGGTGAGTTTTTATAGTGACATTTATTTTCTAATGATGAAGAAGATCTGTACCTATGTAAGGTTTATTTGAAAGAGAATGGGTATACACCCTTATAAATTTCCCATTTTAAGTGTTTATAAACAGCCACGGATGAAAATGTTTCTAACTTGTCAGTGTTTTCCAGGACTCCTAAAAACTTATGTTTTGGAATTTAGTTCCAGAGTTAACTATTTTCCCTGCAGATGAATTTTTCTTTTATCAGAAAGCAAAAAAATTACATATCACATGAAATTATCCCTTTTGCTTCATTTTTACCAGTAGTAAACTTAGAACCTATTACCTGATGATTTAATATTCTTCACCAAGCACCAAAATACATTGGCTCATTCTTTTCTCATAATATCATCCCTCTTCTATTCTTAAATATCTCCTCAGGCACTGCTGATTTTTTTTAATTAGCCTTTAGCCTTTTAGATATAGCAGAGTACAAATCTTAAATATGAGTTTCACTTCTCTTATTTGATATATGTGTGATTAACTGTTTACATCTTAAGAAAAGGTTCATTCTAATAAATAGTGAAATGGACCATCAGGGAAAGGAGGGAAACTGAGTGAGGAAAAATTAGAGAGGAAGACAAACCATGAGAGGCTCCTAATTCTAGGAAACAAAGAGTTGCAAAGGGGGATCTGGGTGGGGGGATGGGGTAAATGGGTGATGGGCATTCAGGAGGGCACATGATGATCTGAGCACTGGGTGTTATACTGTATGTTGGCAAACTGAATTTAAATAAAATATCTTTTGGGATCCCTGGGTGGCGCAGCGGTTTGGCGCCTGCCTCTGGCCCAGGGCGCGATCCTGGAGACCCGGGATCGAATCCCACGTCGGGCTCCCGGTGCATGGAGCCTGCTTCTCCCTCTGCCTATGTCTCTGCCTCTCTCTCTCTCTCTGTGACTATCATAAATAAATTAAAAAAAAAAAAAAAAAAAGAAAAAAATAAAATATCTTTTAAGGGATCCCTGGGTGGCTCAGCAGTTTGGTGCCTGCCTTCGGCCCAGGGCGTGATCCTGGAGTCCCAGTTCGGGTCCCACATCGGGCTCCCTGCATGGAGCCTGCTTCTCCCTCTGCCTCTGTCTCTGCCTCTCTCTCTGTGTCTCATGAATAAATAAATAAAATCTTTAAAAAAATCTTTTAAAAAGAAAGGTTCATTCTTGACACATATGGTGTCAAGTTTCATAGACCTTTCCATATATAAGAGTTCTACCTCTCAGTTCTCAGGTGCCAACTAGGTAGCAAGAGAAAATACTCAAATGTACTTATTTGGTAAACAAGCATTTTAGTACTATACTTCCCTTCTTCAAGTTGTCATAACCTTCCTGTCACCAGAATAGCATAAAAATGGAAATACTCACAGGTGTATCAGGTCAGATTTATTAGCTCTGCACTTTCTAATCACCAGTGGCCAGGGATACCTGGGTGGCTGCAGCGGTTTGGCGCCTGCCTTTGGCCCAGGGCGCGATCCTGGAGACCCGGGATCGAATCCCACATTGGGCTCCCGGTGCATGGAGTCTTCTTCTCCCTCTGCCTGTATCTCTGCCTCTCTCTCTCTCTCTCTCTCTCTCTCACTATCATAAATAAAATAATAATAATAATAATAATAATCACCAGTGGCCAGATCATCTGTGTAACACGAGGTCATGTAAAACCTTATAGGCTCTAAAGCAATCTCTCTAGCTGATATACCATAATTCTAAGTCCCAAAATATTGTATATATACACACACATAACAACTCAGTAGAGGCATGTTAAAGTGTTGAAGTCTAGAAAACTAGGCAACTAGACCTGCATGGTGAAGGGGTCACTGAGACTACATAATTGCCAATCCACCAACCTGTCCGAAATCGGACAACATTATCTTCAATTATAGGCTAAACCTTCCAAATTTAAAAGACTTCAGCTTTGAAATTAAATATCTATGTCTTTACTGTACAGCCCTCTATTTGTCTATATAGTACAAATAATTAGCCCTGTAAACTAATATTCAACAAAGTATAGAGAGTCCTTATATAACCTTTATGGCCAGGCATGGCCATCCTGACACACGTATTCCCAACAACTTCAGCTAAACTAATTTTACCTTCAGGTTGACTCTACCTAACTCTGTGCAAAAGAATTAGATGCTGGTAGCTACTAACTCTCTAGTGACCTCATCAACTTGTTTTGAAATTGTAGTGTACATGCCATTGCCTTGAGCACTTCTTAAAAGAATAGATTCCTGTCCTCACCAAATCCCTAGGTCTGAGATCTATTGGCATATCCTTTTGTTAAAACTAAAGCCTTTGGTAATTTTAAACCAACAATGGCCTACACTGCTATGGATTCTCTATGATCTGTCATCAAAGGCGCAATATACTATCTTAAGATAAAATTCTCTCTCTCTCCCTCTCTCTCTCTCTGAATAAAACTTACTGATGGAATTTCTCAAAATTATGTTATGTCCTAGACTTTTATGGGATAAGAATATAAGAAAAGTTTATTTGTGGTATGTTTAGGTATCTTCTATAAAATTATACTTGATAGCATTCTCTATCATTTCACTCAGAGTCCCTTATATTAGGAGCTGCTGATCAGTTCCCCTTAAATTTCTTTTTTTTTTTTAACGCTCTTATTTTATTTAGTTCCCCTTAAATTTCATGCCAGGATAAAATTTGTCTTGTTTTAGAGGAAAAGTTGTCTTATTGGCTAACAAGATCAATACAAATTCTATACATTTTTGTCTTAGCCGTCACGATGTTCAGAACTAACTTGGCACTCAACTACATTAATATATCCCAGCTATCAGGCATAATCATTTGCCTGTTCTTTTTCTAATGATTGATTGATTGATTATGCCACCTTAAATTCTTACTTTGAGAAATGTAAATTATACATAGGTAAAAATTTAAATACTCATAACTTCTCATTAAGGAAGATGTTTTAGCTTGTTGCTATTGAAAATAAATTTGCCAAAAGGATTGTCTTTATAGAACATGTTTCTAACTAGCCTCATACCTCTTGTTTACCTTTAGCTTCATCAAACAGAATTATTGAAAGGATATTCTCTGGGGCAGTAACAAGGTAAGAAAAAGCATCTGAGTTTAAAAATGAATTACAGGTAGGGCACCTGGTGGCTCAGTTGGTTAAGCATCTGCCTTTGGCTCAGGTCATGATCTTAGGGTCCTGGGATTGAGCCCATGTTGGGCTTCCTGCACACTGGGGAGTCTGCTTTTCCCTCTCCCTCTGCCCCTCCTCCCGTTCGTGCTCTTTCTCTTTCTCAAATAAATAAATCTTATTTAAAAAAATGAATTACAGGTAGCACTATCACAATCGCATTTTAGCATGGTTTCCTGCATACCACAGCTTCATACAAGACAGTTGTAATTCTTTAATTTATGGGCATTATCCCTTTACCTTAATATAGATAACAGTATTTGAACCTGGTGATTATTTGCATTCAAATTGGAAACCAGAGTTTTTTCTTCACACCTGCACAGATGTCTTCTGTTTTCACCCTCTAGGCCTTTGCAAACAGTATAGGCAATGGAAGGGATGCTCTTTATAAGGTTTCCAGCCTTCTAATTTATCTTTGACTGAATTTCCAAAGAAAGATATTGCTTTATTTCTTAGTCTGTCATCCTACTAAATTTATCTGAGTAATTGCTCAGGAAACTTTATAACCCTGTGTTTTCTTCAGGGGTAAAACAGTGCAGAAAGAGGGAAGAATGAGCTATGCAGATTTTGTTTGGTTTTTGATCTCTGAGGAGGACAAAAGGAACCCAACCAGGTATGACTTTTTTTTTTTTTAAATTTAAAATCAGTTAGCATATAGTATATTATTAGTTTCAGAGACAAGAGTTTAGTGATTCAGCCAGGTATGACTTCTAAGTTTCCTTTGCCAGGAATGTTAAAACACTTAAAGAAAGCTTGAAAAAGTCATGATGTATACTCAATAGATGCCATCTTGACCTAGGAGTACCGAGATGAATTAGACTTAGTCTCTGCCCCCTCAGATCCATAGTCACAGCATATCAAGAGAAGTGTTTTTACCCGCAGAAACAAAGGTGAAGTGACAGGTGAGCTGGCCCTGGGGGTTAAGCAGGATAGTAAGCCTTTATACAGAATGTGGGAATACATATTGTGAGTTTTCATTGTTTTATGATCTTCATGGTTCAGTAGTAAATGGGAAAGGGAAAGAAGCAAATTGTGGGTGACTGATATAGACAAATTAGAATCATCTCTCCCTTTCCTTTGTACTCTCAAACATACCTTGATTTGTGATCATGAACATACACATATCTGTCTCTTGCAACTAGTCTCTTGTTTAGGCCAAAACTGTTGGTCCCTCTTTTCTATTTATTCCCAGCTTGTGTTAACACAGTGCCCAGGACATAGTTTGTGCTTAGTACCAAGGAATGGAGAGGCTACAGTCCGTGATGCTTGCTAGTATAACTGACTCAGCTGTCTACATGTTGATTCTAAAAGTTATCTAAATGTTGGATATATGGTTTGGAATCAATGAAGTAGAAATAAAATTAAGCTATTTCTTAGGCAGCCTATTAGATTATTTTTAAATAACTTTGTTTTCCATTTCAAAGAATATTGTCCATTATAGACACTTTAGAAAACATAGATAAGCAGAAGAAATAAATTTTAATAATAATTCTAACATTTAGAATAAGACATTATTAAAACTTGGTATATATTGTACAGTCTCTTATATTTTTACATACTTCTTGGACATTTAGATTTGTACCATTGGATTAAGTCTTAATTACCATACATTCTAAAATTTTTATGGAATGCTTTCCAAAACAATAGTTACAGCTAAGTAGTTCTAACATCCACTACTTTTCTCATTAAGATAAACTCCTCCCAAATGGAATTGTTAGGTTAAAAGGGTATACACATTTTTAAGGGCATTTATGAAAATTATTAAGTTGCTCTTTAGAAAAATTGTATAATTTTATACTTTTATCAACAAGGTACTGAGCATATTTCCTGTAACCCTACTAAAATTGAATATTATCTGCTTAAAAATAGTTTCCAATTTGATAAATTAAAAAATCAGTATTATTTTACTTTGCATTTCTTTGATTACTAATGAGGCTGAATTTTTTTCATACATATTCAGCCAGTTTTATTTCATTTTAGGCAAGTTGCTTTTCAAGTCTTTTGCTCATTTCTGCTGGGTTAGTTTTTTTATTGTTTTATGACAAATACACATTTTAAGTATCTTAAAAATATAAAATACATTCAAAAACCTTATGAAATTCATTCATAATTCCATGACCCATATTTAGCATTGGTATATATCCTTCTACTCCTTCTCCCTTTCCCTCCCTCCCCACCCTTTCTCCTTCTTCTCTTTTCCCTCCTCCTCCACTCTCTTTTTCCCTGCACCAAAAGATACACTAAATGATATCAATACTATATAAATTTGTAACACATTTTTTCACATAACAGTACATTTCCATGCCAGTAAGTATGCATCTTTATAATTTGTCATTAGTCCATTATTTTGAAAGTTTCAGTTACATCACCTAAATTTCCAAATATATGAAGACTGCGTTTTCCAATCTTTTTCAGTGTTCTATTAATCCTCTCAATCTCAATCTTTTATTTCTCATATTTCCTCAATTATGAAAAAGCTTTCCTCAGGTAATTCTCATCCATGATTTCCTCCTTCTGGAACCCCTATTATCCCACAAGGACAAGTGAAGAGAACTAGAAATGGTAATGAAGAACATGAATAACAAACTCTGTGAACATGTATTTGTTCTCTTTTTGTCTCTCAGCATCTTTAGAAAACATAAATTATATAAAGTAATAATTAGGAGAGAGTAGTTTTGGGTTTGTAATATATATAGATGTAATATGTATAATAATAGCACAAAAGGAGGGAAGAAGGAAAAGAGTTACATAGGAATAACATTTCAGTATCTCACTGGAATTAAGTACAAATCTGAAGTAGATTCTAGGAAGTTAAAAATGTACATGGCAAGACCCTAGAGCAACTACTAGAAAATAAACTCAAAACTATATAGCAAAAAAAATCATTAAAGAATTAGAATGTTACACTTAGAAAATACTCACTTAATGTAAAAGAAAGCAGTAAAGGAGAAACAGAGAAGAATGCCAAGACAGAAAACAAATAGTAAAATGGCAGGCAAAGGTCCAACTATATCAATAATAATTTATAAACGTGAATGGATGGATTAAACATTTCTTTGAAAGGTAGAGATTTTCAGACGACTGGATTTTTTAAAAAATATATAATTATATGCTATCTACATGAGAAATATTAGATTTAAAGATTTAAAAGGGAGAAAAAGTGAAAAGGAAATATAAAGATATGTCATGCAAACAACAACCATAAGAAACTTGGAGTGACTTTATAAATATCAGAGATTGTAGACTTTAATACAAAAATAGTTACTGGAGGATGAAGAAGAAATTTTATCATGTAAAATGTCCAACAGGAAGACACCACAGTTACAAACACATATGCACCTAACAACATTGAACTCTAAAATACATGAAACAAAACTGGCAGAATTGAAAAAATTCAACAATAGTAAGTAGTTGAAGACTTACATACCCTACTTTCAGTGATGGATGAATAACGAGGAAGAAGATCAACAAGGAAACAGAAGTCATGAACAGCACTACAAACAAAACTATAAACCAAAAAGACCTAGCAAATCTATAGAACACTCCACCTAAGAATAGTAGAATATATATTCTTCTCAAGTACACATGGAATATTCTCCAGGATAGGACATAGAGCAGGCCATAAAACAGCCTCAATAATTATAAAAAGTAAAACCATACAAAACATATTCTCTGACCATAATGGAATAAAATTAACAATAACAGCTAGGAATTTGGGAATTTACAAACATGTAGAAAGAACACACTGCTTAAATAACCAATGGGTAAAAGAAGAATACATCAAAGGACATCATTTGAAATGAATGAAAATGAAGGAAAAAGTAACAAAACTTCAAGATGAATGAAAATGGAAATACAGTATGCCAAAACTCACGGGATATAATACATACAGTGCTAAGAGAAGTGTATAGCTATAAACGCATATACTAAAAAACAAGAAATATCTCAAATCAGTGAGCTAACCTTCTACTTTAAGACACAAAGAGCAAATTTAAGCATAGCAAACACAAGGGAAGAAGAAAGATTGAAGTGGGTAAATTAGAGAATTGAAAAACAAGAGAGAAAATCAATGGAATCAAAAGTCAAATTTTTTTTAAAAGATTAATAGGGCCTTAGCTACACTGATCAAGAAAAAAAGAGACAGCATTCAAATTATTAAGGTTAGAATAAAAGAAGTAACATGAATGCTGACCTTACAAGAATAAAAAGAATTTACATATATAACAACTTTATACTAACAAATTACATAATTTAGACAAAATGAGCAAATTCCTAGAGCGTCACTGGTTCAAGATGAAATAAAAACTCTGGATAGGAAAAATAATCCCAGGCTGAGATGGCTTTGCTGGAAAAGGCTACCAAACATTTTTAGAAACAAAACAAATGAACATGGGGGCAGGGCACAGGGGAGAGGCAGACTAAGAAACACTCTTAACTGTAGAGAGCAAACTGATGGTCACTGGAAGGGGGAGGTGGGCATCAAAAATGCCCTGGGGATTACAGAGTGCACTTGTGATGAGCACTGTGTGTTGTATGTTAGTGATGAATTACTAAATTCTATCCCTGAAAAAATAACATTTCTTTTTACAAACTTCCAAAGAATAAAAGAGTAAAGAACACTCTCAGATTCATTCTACAAGGCCAGTACTACTCAACATTGTTGAAAGAAATTAAGGAAGATCTAAATGAAATCAAGGCATCCCATGTTCATGCATCAGTGGGCTTAAAATAGTTGGAATGGGGGATCCCTGGGTGGCTCAGCAGTTTAGCACCTGCCTTTGGCCCAGGGCATGATCCTGGAGTCCGGGGATCGAGTCCCGTGTCAGGCTCTCTGCATGGAGCCTGCTTCTCCCTCTGCCTGTGTTTCTGCCCCCCCCCCCTCTATGTCTGTCATGAATAAATGGATAAAATATTTTAAAAAAAAAAGTTAGAATAGATGCAAAGAAACTCCTAAGGAAATCCCAGCTACTTTTTGTTGTTGGTGTTTTTGTAAAAATAAAAAAGCTGAATTCTAAATTCATATAGAACTACAGAGTTAGCCAAAACAATCTTGAGAGAAAGCAAAATCATAGGACTCACACTTACTGATACCAATATGCAAAGCTAATGTAAACAATACAATGTGATACTGGTGTGAAGATCAACATGTAGACAAACAGTTGAATAGGAATTCAGAAGTAAATAAATAGTCATATTTATGGCTAGTTGATTTTCAACAAGCATGCCAAGATAATTCAAATGGGTGAAAAAAAAATAGTCTTTTAAGAAATGGCACTGAGAGTTGGATATCGATATGCAAAATGAATTTGGATCCCTACCTCACATCATACAAAAAATTAGCTCAAGTAGATTACAGACCTAAATATAAGAACTAAAACTATAAAACTTTTAGAAGAAAACATAAGAGTAATTTTTATGACTGTGGTTTCTTAGATAGGACACCAAAAGCATAAACAAAAAAAGAAATGGATGAAATCAATTTCAAAAAAATTAAAATCCTTCATACTTCAAAAGACAACATCAAGAAAGCAAGAAGACAACCATAGCGTGGGAGAAAATATTTATAGATATTTGTAGATCTGACAAATGACTTGTATCTAGAATATATAAATA